ATCAATTTCATCTGCCTTATTATATTAGAAATGGTCATAGCTGGATGTGGTGGCGCACACCTGTAATCCCAGCACTCGGGAGACTGAGGCAGGAGGATTGCTGTGAGTTCGAGACCAGCCTGGGCTACATAGTGAGTTCCAGGTCAGTCTCAACTACATAGTGAGATCCTGTCTCAAAAAAAAAAAGGTCATTATATATATTTCTAAGTAGTTTGTAAAATATTAGAAGTTTGATTGCTTGCATACATTTTGGAGATTCATTATGTTATTATGTGTTTTTCTTACCTCATCATTGTATGTGAATCAGTATGGTTATGGCAGAACATTCACATTATTTTTTATTAGCATATGTTTGTGATACATAATTATATTCATTTTGGGGAGTATATATATGTATTTATACACACACACACATATTTATATATCTCACATCTTAACCATTTTTACTTCCCCTTCCGTTTCACATATTTTACTGTTTAAATCTATTTGCTAGAATTTTATCTAAAATTTTTACATTCCTAAATCAGCCTCATGGAGAGACTTCCTTTGGGGACCTGCCAGCTTTCATATCAAGGTCATTTTGGCTTGAAAGAACCATCTGGAAGTTTTCTATCTTTTGTCTAAATCTTCGAACAGTTTATATAATGTGGAAATTATCTGCTTCTTGAGAGTTTAAAGGATTATCAGGCCCTGTCTTATATGAAGTAGTCCACCTGTCACCGGGGCACGAGGGTATCCCCATGTGCACACAACCATGTCTGTCCACATTTAACAAGACGTGCGAGGTATTCGTCCTTAGTGGAACACTGTGCATTAATTTACTGCCTTCCTTTTCTTATAAAAAAGGGAGCAAATGCCCCAGACGATAAAGTTTTAAGAAGAAACCACTTCCCAGGCTTCGGTTCCAAGAGTCTCCTTTTTGGAGGCTGTAAAAGAGACTAGAGAAGGTGGTCAGGGAGTATACAATGTTCTACCATCTACATTTCATTGAAGGTGACCAAGTTCAGCAACCATATCTTTCACACTGGCATACAGAAACCTAAGGTCTGGGCAGACAAGATCACCTGTCCAGCCCCAGGTCACCTCACGTTCTAGTCACTCACCTACCTCAGCCTTAGAATTTTTCCTCTCTTTCACAGCAATAAAAACTCATCCCACAAGTCTTTTCTCTACTGCAGAGCTCCAGGACCAGTAACTGTGGAAGCACTTCAAGGGGAGCCCAAATGAAGACTTAGAGTTGTTGCGGACTCACTGTTAATGTCCGTCCAAATTCATATATTGGCGTTCTGACCTCCAACAGGAGTATTAGGAGGCGAGGCCTCTGGGAGGTGGTCAGATTTAGATGCCATCATGAGGGGAGAGTCCCATAACAGGGTTAGTGCCCCTCTAAGAAGAGGAAGAGACATCAGAGCTTCCTGTCTCCAAGGCCATCCAAGGAAGAGGTCAGGGAAGCACGCAGCAAGATGGCGGCCACTAATACACCACAAGAAAGGCCTCGGAAGGAAACCTTTCACGCTGGGCATCTTGATTTTGGCCTTCCCAGTTTCCACAACTAGGAAGAATCAATTTCTGTTGCTGAAGCCCCTCAGTCTGTGGCATTTAGTGATGGCAACCCAAACTGACTAAGGTAACTAACACTTTCCCGAGACTCTGAGGCGTGGCCTGGGATCGCCCCCTCCTTTCTGGAGCTCTCAGACCAAACCTAGCATTGTGAACTATTTAGGTATCAGGAGATTCTCTCCCTTCCTGCTCGTAGAAAATTAAACTAACAATTCTGTTAATAACTGGTGAGTAAATAGTTCTTTCTCTATACAACGAATTGGATTCATCAAGATTTGCATTAAACTGAATTCTCCCTCAACTTTAACCTTCAAATCCAGTCAAAAGGTATATTTTCTCCAACAACTGCACGTCACACATCACTCCCCTCCTGTAGCTGCTTCTCCACACCTCTGATGCATGGGACAGTACCATGCTGCCACCCTGACAGCATTTTCAGAGGTGATGTCAGAAAAATAAGAACAGGGTATTAAATTATTCTTAAAGCTGAGTATTTTCAGTTCAAAGACTTAGGTTTTATTCTTAGACTATGTCCTTCCCACTCTTTTGTTGGCATTAAAGGACATATTGCCATGAAATGTTAAAAATCCCTCTTTTCCAGGGATTATAACTACCTTTTAACTCAACTGTAGGCTCCTTAAGCTCTTCTTTATTTAGGCTTTCCTCCAAATGAATTCTAATAAAAAACTTCAGTAAAACAAAAATAAATCCATAAATATTTTAATACACTTATTCACCTCATCCCTAACAGAGCTAATCAGTGGCGGACAATATATTTGTTGTGAAGAGAGTTAATTTCCCAGATTAAACATGCACATAAACACATAAAGCTGACAGTATTTTGAGATATATGACACTAATAAAGGTAACATTTATTGGGCCAGCCACTGGGCTAAGCACTTTATTGGATTACCTCAGTTAATCCTCACAGCAAACCTATAAAGTAGGTGCTATTCTTACTCCCATTTTATAGGAGTGGTTATAAATGAGGAGCCTCATTACTGTAATTTAATCTCCACCAGCCCAGAATTTGAGTTTAGTGTTTACATAAGCTATAAAAAGGTTGAATAAGCAAATTAGAACTTAAAGAGGACTGTGGAAGGCACAGTTAACCTATTAGAAGATCCCGTGCCTTAAGAGAGACGGCAAAACACACACCGCCTGCTTCTTAACCGGAACAGTTTGGGGAGATTCTGCCTGAAACTACACTGTCTTAGAACATCTTAAAATTCAGACTTTGGCTCGTGAGCAGGGGGTCTCCTCTCGGTCTCCTTCCCCAAGATTAGTCCAAATTGGTAAACCGCTTCCAGAGACGACGCGGTACAGTAGCTGTCAGCTGCGGCGCCTCAGTACCATGTCCCTCCTCCCCAACAGCACCCGGAGTTCTGTACCCCACTGTATACCCCTGGCCTCCCCGTTCCCACATAGACACCAGCCTGAGAGAGAAGGGACCCAGGAAAGGGGAAGCAGAGGAGAGATGGGAAGAAACTGGATGATTTAGGGCACTGCTGAGCTGCTGGGTCACCTTCTCCCTGCACCCCGTGACTGCGTGAGCTCCCTAACCCCCCTGTGTTCTCCAAGGGTCTTTGGGTTTGCTGTTCAGCTTTCAGGTCTCAAAGAATCCAAACTGATAAAGGGGAAAGAACCAAGAGCATCCCCGGTCTGAAATGTACGTGCTGAAACCCTAACCTGGAAGGCCATGCTATCAGGATGGGGCCTCCCAGTGGTAATGAGGAGGCAGGGTTAACATCCTCATAAAAGAGGCCTGAGAGCCAGGCGTGGTGTCACACTCCTATAATCCTAGCACTCAGGAGGCTGAGGCAGGAGGATCACCACAAATTCAAGGTCAGCCTGGGCTACATAGCAAGACCCTGTCTCAAAGAACCAAACAAAGCAAGAAGAGGCCTGAGAGAGGTCCCCGCCCCCTCCTGCCACACGTGGACTCAGTTAGAGGTGGCAGTCTGCACCCCAAAACCTGAGCTTGCTGGCCCCTCACCCCGACATGCCTACTCCAGGACCGGGCCCACCCGAGTGCCATCTGCAGCCCTTCCCGGCCCTCCTACAGCTTCTCAGCTGTCCTGAACATCTGGGGTCAAATGTCACAGGGTTTCAAACCACTGCGGTGAACAACTGTGTGGCTGTGGGCAGGCCACCGGCCCCCGGGTCTTCTGAGGATGAGAAGGAGAGGGTTCCCGACTCTCACCAGAGTGGAGAACCCCTTCGGAGCTGGAGCAGGGGTGCATGCCAGTCATCAGCACTCTGAGAGGCTGAGGCAGGAAAATCTCTACCTAGGCCACTTAGTGAGACCCGGTCTCAAAATAAAAAGAAGGGCTGGGAATGTGGCTCAGCAGTACTGCAAAACAAAAACAACAAAAAATAAAAGCACTCCCTTTAGCACTGCAATTACCCTAGGTCAGGGAGCACTTGCTTCCTGCTTGACCCAGGAGTAGCTTAAAAATCAAACCACAATCAGGTGCAATAAAAAGAAAAGATAAACTAAAGCAATCAACTCTGAGCCCCAGTCAAATGAGGGGGACGGTGCACACACCGAGCCCCCACCCTCGCCACCACCTCTGTCACTAAGAGGGTGCGAGAAAGAGATGCCTCTTGCTCAGTCGGGGTTTATAGGAAAAGAAGAAATTAAAATTCCACTTCCACATAAATGTACCGACCCCCACCAGCACCTGTGTTGGACCCGACCGAGGAATGCTGGCTACGTACGCATTTCCTAGAGGTAAAGAGAGCCCAGAACAGCCCACGGTATGCGAAATGACTAGGAAGCCCCGGGGCCAGTGGGAGATCCTCAAGAATGGGCCCTGGCCCTCTCTGTGGGATCCCACGGCCTCTCTGCTGCGATTCTCCACAGACCCAGCCATTCCAAATCCTTCTCAACACACAGGGCCTCTGTCCTTTGTATTCTTTTTGTTGTTGGTTTAAAAGCATTTTCTTTTCTTTTTTTTCCTCCGTCCAGTACAGGGGATCGAACTCAGAACCTTGCACTTGCATCCCCAACCCTTTGTTGTGTTTTTTTTTTTTTTGGTACTGGGGATCGAACTCAGGACCTTGTGCTTGTGAAGTAGGCGGCGGAACCACTGAGTCAAATTCCCAGCCCTGTTTGTGGTTTTCAGACAAGTTCTCACTGAATAACCCAGGCTGGCTTCAAACTCCCAGCAATCCTCCTGCCTCAGCCTCCTGGCCTGTGCCACTATACCCAGCAATGGATTCTTAACTATGTGCAACCTCTCTGCAGAGGGAGACAAGACAGGATGCCCTCTGCCCCATCCTGGATGACACTGAACTCCCATGTGCAGATTCTAGGAAAGAGGCCCAGAGCAGCCCTCCTCCCCCTCTTGGGAATTTCCGAAACCCCAAGGTCAGAGAAATGATGCCCACCCCTCGGCCACACACTGGGCTGGTGCCAAGAACCCCAGAGATGGTACCTGCTGCGGGAGGCGAGGGTGGTGTGCTCAGGGCCGGGCTGCTCTGGCGCCTTCCTCCTTCCGCATCCTCCGGAGCCGGGGCCTGCGGGAGGGACCCAAACACTGAGTTCAGGAGACGTGGTGACTGACGCAAGGGAAAAGGAAGGATGATCTGGGCGGGGCCGCCCAGGGAGACCCCAGGCCCCAGTCACTGAGGAAGCCCCTGAACCAAGAGTCCTCAGGGCTCCTTCATTCCTCTTATGCTACACCTGATCCCCCAGCGAAGCCACCAGCAAGTGCTGTGAGCTCTGGCTTCGAGCCGCCTCCGCCACTACCGCTGGGGTCCAAGCTAGCAGGTGCCCCATGCACTACCGTAGTAACCTGACCTCCAGCCTTACCTTCCCACGCACTGCAGGCTGAACCACGGTACGGGCAGAACGGGTCTCCCCAAAACTGTATGCTGAGGCTCTAACCCCTCGGAGCTCAAGAGAGACATAGTTGGGGAGGGGTCACCTCAAGAAGCAATGACTGAAATTGCGGTTGTGCTGATGGAGAGCGCGGACCCTAAACCCACGGGACTGGGGTCCTCATAAAACAGAGAAATGCAGACCCAGAGAGACGTGTGCAGGGGACACCACGGGAAGACCGAGGGGCCTGAACTAATCCTTGCCTCGAGTCCTCACAGGGAAAGGCCCTGGAGACACCTGATCGCCACGCTTCCAGCCACCTTCTGCTGCCACCGAGGGGCACCCCGGGTCCCCAGCTCCCTCACATGACCCAGCTCTCAGCCTGGGCAAGCTGCTGGTGGAGCCTGCACACGCCTGGGGACCACTGACAGGGCCTCCGTGGCCCACAGAGCAAGTCTGGTGCCACGTGACTGAAGGGCACAGGGTTTGCAGAAAATGCAGAGAAACTGGGAGGAGGGGGGCAGGGTGTGGCCCTGGGAAGCTGTGGGGAGCTCACCTGCGCTTTGCCTGGAGGAGGCCAAGGGTCTGATAGCTTCTTTATTTTTTAGTCTTTATTTGTATTAGTCCAGATTTGAAGTACCTAATGGTCACACTCATCGTGGAAGTTGGTTCATGTACATAACACATCTATATTCTTTTTATGTCCCTTCCCGCTCCCACATCTCTTGTTCTCCTTCGCATTTGAGACAGATCTATGTCCCTACTTCCTATTACAGTGGTACCTCGGTTCTCAAACTTAATTCTTTCCCCATAAGGTCCGCAATGAACCTAACCATTGATTTTGATTTCGTTCATGTCCAATTCAGTCTGTGGCCAGAATCACAGAAATAATTAAGTTCATGAACCAAGGTACCACTGTATCTCTTTTAGTGCTCTTTATATTTGTCTCCATTAAGAGAAACCAATGATATTTAAGCTTGTGTGTCTAATTTATTTCACTTAACATGGTGGCTTTGAGGTGCATCCACTTTCCTACAATGATTTAAGTTTATCCTTCTTTGTGGCAGAGTAATACTCCACTGCGTGTAAACACCACCTTTGCTTTATCCATTCATCTGCTGATGGACATCTAGATTTAGCTATCATGAGTTGTGCTGCTAAGAGCTATGCTGAGGAGGAGGACAGCTGGACTGGGTGTTCCCTTATCCCGAATCTGCAGATTCAGGGTCTTAGTGTTCCTGCTCAGCCCCCTTTCACATGTGATCAAGGACAGACAGATGGCCTGACTTCTTCCTCCAGGGGAGAGCTCATCATGGGAAAGCCCTGGCTGAGTGGAGGGCTCATTGTCACCCTGAGCCAGGACTGGGTGCCGGAAGTGAGAAAGAAACGGCCTCACTTCCGGGAAATCAGATTTGATCACCTTGCACCACCACCCAACCCATCTGGGGTTCCAGGGCCACAGGGGAGGATGAGCGGGAGAGATGGGAGTCAGGGAGCAGAGAAAAGGGTGGCCTTGAGTGACAAAGGGCCTGGGAAAAAAGGCAGTGCTGCTTGCTGAGAGCTCCTTGTGACTGAGGTAACAAGAAATGGGAGTCAGGCCCGGGATCAAACCCCCACCTTGCCCCCCAGCAGCTGTTCAGCCTGGTGCTGCTCTCTCTGGGTCTGGCTCTGCAAAGGTTGGTGCAAGGCCCAAATAAAACGAAGTGAATAAAAAGATCCACCACGGCGCTACATAAGGGGCCACTTCACGTCCTTTCCCTCCCTCCTTCCAGCCTTCAGACTTCCGGCTCTCTTGGCCTCACTAAGCGAGACAGGTCCAGAAAGGACAGAGCATTTTCCATGAGTCAGAGGAGCAAGACCAACATTTGCAAGGAAGCGAGGCCAATGTCAGGAAGAGGCTGAGGCAGGAGGATCACGAGTTTGAAGCTGGCCTGGGCAACATAGTGAGACTCTACCTCAAAAAAACCTAAGAACACCAAAAGAGTCAGCAAGGGAACAGAGAGGTCATGCCAAGGCTGGTGTGAGGGAAGCCTCAACCTAAGGGGACACCTGGACCTCAGACCCTGCCCAACAGGAAGTCGGTGACAAACTTGGAAAACACCATTGCAGCAGGTCACACTCTGGCCTCAGAGTGGGACAACATGGGCCACCCTGCATGCACTGCTTCATTCTCCGAAGCGACTACGTGTGACCTGTCCCACTCTCTCTTGGGCACCAAGGACAGGGCATTCTACACAGCACAGGGGCCAGGGTGATGGGGTGCATGGGGTCCCTTTTCAGCCAGGAGGCCTCAGACAGAAAGAGGAAGTGACGCACAGAGGTCCTGCCTCTCTTTGTGGTGGCCCAGTCTCTCTGCACACCATGGGGCAACCTCAGCCTGCCACAGCCTTCCCCTCTGATGCCTCACCCAGCACTAACACCACTTGTGAGGTTCACCCCAAGGCAGAACTGTCTAACTTCAGTTGACTGATTTCTGAGAGCAGGAATCTGGGGACGTGGATCAATGTCCCAGCTCGAGGGGAACCTAGAAGTCTTTTCCTGGGGCCACCATCTCTCCAGCACCTGTGGACAAAAACTTGGTGGATGGACGCCAGTAAGTACTTGGTAATGAATAAACAATATCAAGCCAGGCGTGGGGGTGCAGGCTTAGAATCCCAGCCCTCTGGGAGGCTGAAGCAGGAGGACTGCAAGTTCATTCTCAGCCAGGGTGACTTTGTGAGGTCCTGTCTCAAAGTAAAAAAGTCAAAAGGACTGGGGATGCAGCTCAGTCCAAAAGCCTTGGGTTCAGTCCTCAGTGCCACAAAGCTAAATAAATAACATCAATAGGGCTGGGTATTTAGCTCCTCGGTTCTGCTGCCTGCCTCATAAGCGCAAGGATCCAAGTTTGATACTCAGTCCCCCCGCAAAATCCCTTCTAGTGAATAACAGCAATGCCAGTCCTGCCCACGCAGCAGGGCCTGTCCCCCGTGCCTTGCCCCCACCCCCACGAAGACAGGCCCAGTTCCGCACGCCTGCAGTGTGATCACCAGCACGGCCTGCCCCTACCCGCAGTGGTTTCCCCACTCCCTCCCCGAGTCAGGTTCCTTTTTTTTTTTTTTTTTTTTTTAAATAAATGACTCATTTAGGAAGAGACAAAAACCAAAAACTTCAATAGTAGAGATAAAACGGCACCAAGCCTCTTTAAACCCCCTCCCACTGCAGGCAGAGCTGAGATCCGATAAGCCTCCCGAGGTGGCTTTGCTCCTTTGGAGCTCACGGTATCCTCTTCAGCGCTTCTAGCAAAACACTTCCAGTGCCGCTTGCATTCCTAACGTGTCAGTCTTTGGAGTCTTGGTGTGTGTGTGTTGGGGGGTGCGGGCTGCAGGCAGCAGCTGTGCAAAACCAAGGAAAGAGAAATTCAAGATCAAAGCCCAGGCTTTCAATGGGGTCAAAAATGATGTGATGCTTTACTAAATTTATGACTGATTTATTGATGCAGGATGTTGGCATTAGATCAGGAGGCTGATAAGAATTATGGGGAGTTTCTCATTTAAAAAAAAAAAAAAGAGTTCTTGGTATGTGAGATGTTTATAACGTTGGTGCACAGTATTTACAAGGAACACAATTATATAATACAGGACACAGAGTTGTCGGAGCAACTGGGCAGCCTAAATAAAACCAGGCTAAGATAAGCCATCAGGATGATTCAAATCCAGGGATTCTAAATGTTAGCTGAATTAAAAACCAAAAATATTCCCAGGTTCCACCCCCCCCAAATTCTGATACACTTGATCTGGAGTAGGGCCCTGGGTTCAGGTTTTTTGTTGTTGTTTTTTTTTAAACTGCCCAATGATTTGACTGTATCTTGAGGGCTGAGAACCACTAATCTATGGATAAGAAAAATGGGATCTAAAAATTAAGGAGGGCCAGGAGCAGTGGTGGATACTTATAATCCCAGCACTTCAGGAGGCTGAGGCAGGAGGATTGCAAGTTTAAGCCCTGCCAGGGCAACTTAGCAAGATGTGGTCTCAAAAATAAATAAATAAATAAATAAATAAATAAATAAGGGTTGGGGATGTGGCCCTGGGTTCAATCCAAAAAAAAAAAAAAAAAAAAGTAGTGCTAGAGCACTCACCTAGCGTGAGCACGCCCCTGGGTTTGATCCCTGGCACTGCAATAATAACTGTAAATAGATAAGTAAATAAAATAAAATAAAGCAAAGGAACAGCCCCAAGATTGCATAGTCAGAAACAAAACCAGAACCAAATCTGACACTGACAGCTCCTAGTCCAGTTCTGCAACTTTGCTCAGATTGGCGATGTAGATTTTTTTCAAAGAAAAAAAAAATTTTTTTAAAACGCAAAGGAAGGGGACTAACAGATGCTAACTTTTAGTTTAGTCAAGTCAGGGTACTTGAGACAGCGGCCCCATCAGCTATTACGACCCCTGCTCAGCTGCCTCCCCCTGTGCCCTCTACCCCACCCCACCCCGGAGGAGAGAGCGGAATCACCGTCACTCACCTGCTCCCTAGGACAAATCCAACCAAAATGCACTCTTGTTTCCAAAGGTCCCTCCGAGCCCACCTTTCACCTTCCTCATGCCCAGCACATGATATCTGCACAAGTCACAACCACAAACAGTCACAACTCACCACCGCACAAACATGATTCTCCTAAACATCTCCCTAATTGAGGACACCAGGCAACTACAAAGGGGG